TCTTACCACCGAGTCTCAGCAATAAAGGGCTCCACGCAGTCTCCCTTCTGTCCGTTTGGTTTCTGGCGCAATTCCTCTTCGCAGTAGCGCCAGCAGCAGTCCAACGGGTTCGCAGCCCCTGGCCCCTTAGCTTCCTGGGGGGTGTTGTAGTCCTCTCTGCCATTTCCTGCTGCCTTTTTTTTTTTCAATAAGGGTCAGCTAATTAAATTTCCAGCGCTCTCTCTCAGGTTCAGTGAGCAGGGCTAATCGGCCAGCCAGCCCCAGGCCTCTGACCCCAGAGGAATGGCATCCCTTACACCTTCACACCTTGCTTAATGCAAACACAAACAGAGGTTTGTTTGAAGATACAATTCACTGGGCTCCTTGCACATTGTTACTGACAGTCTCCCAGGTTCAGGTGCCAACCACGTTCTCCAGGGAGCTTCTGTCCCACACAGAGCCCTTGTGGGTCATTTTCCACATGCTCAGGTTCATACAGGAGCAGGACACGCTGACTCTCACCTCTTTCCCACTGGGTGAAGATAAGAGGTGCAGCATAGGCTCTCTCAAAGGTGTGGTAGGCAACCATAGGCAGTGCAATCAGTACAGGGGTCACAAGGAAGCCAACCAAACTATCCTCTATCAGCAGAGCTGTCTGGAAAACTTCTGTTTCATGAAACATTTTGAAGGGAGATCATGGCACTGCAAGAGGGTAGCGGGAAAGCCCTGGTCTCCCTACACGCCAGCTGTCCCAGGCTGATGGAGAAGTTCCTTCTTCACTGTGAAATTTAGAGCAGCCTCCAGACCATTTGAAACACCTTGATGCCCCCCGACCCTGGCTAGTGGAGATGGGTGCAGGAGAGGATCTGGCCCACATTGTGTAATACAGAAACTAAGAGTTAACAAAATAACATACACTGATATTAAAAATGTTATTTGAAGCTATAATATGCACCATCCTCTTGCCCAGCTCCCTATGTTCAAGTGTCAATAGCTAAGTTGTTGTGCTTTTTTAAATGAGAAGCAGCTGGTAGTTCAAATACACAAAAACACAGGCACCCGCCCCAAAGACTAAATTGAGGGACGTTGCTCCAGTTAGAGAATTTTCCCAACAATTCCAAACCGACACTGTCACTCCAGAGCAACACGTGACAGACAGCGACAAAGGGAGTTCACTTCCTACCCGTGAGGGGAAATTCATCTTCACAGCACCGAAGACGCCTGGAGGCTGCATTCCACTTCTCCAAGACCTAAGCCTACAGGATGGGTCGCTTCCCAGCCCGGCTGCTATTGCTGGCACTAGCAGGTAAGGCATCGAGAAATTATCCCTCCCCTCCCGTAGACACGGAATATTCCATTTGCTCTTGCATTTGTAGCACACTGCACTTGTTTGCTCTTGCACTTATCACGTTGGCCGGCTGCGAGCAGGCACGGAAATTGGGCTCCCAGCTATTTGTGATGGCAGGAAATGCTCTGTCTGCTGGGTCTCCATATTTTTTTCCTCAGCAATTGCATATTTTAGAGAGAAAAGAAAAGCTATCAAATGGATTTCAGGGAGGATTTGAACACCCCAAATTGTGAAAACAGGCTCCTCTCCTGTTAGAAGGGATTCCTTATCCAAACCCACCTAGGAATTGGGTCCTGTCAATCTGGAGAAAGCAACAGAGAATGTGCTGTAGCGAACACTCCTACACTGAAAAGGGGGTGGACTAGATGATCAGACCAGTGCCAGTTTACCAGACTGTACCAGACAGAGCCAGCCTAGCTCCTGATTAGTTGTTCACACTCTAACCCACTTTGAAGACTGGGTGATGTAAGCTCCAGAGTGGAACAGAGCATGGACTATTCAATGGGAAGGAGACAGCTGATATGCACTGGCGCTCAGGACAGAGGCTCATTTAGGCAAGGTAAGGAGCTTAGAATAACAATCACAGCAGCCTGAAGTAGTCGCAGGGATGGCAGGTCATTGGTTAAGAGCCACTGTCCCCACAGGTCATTCTCAACTCTAACGTCAATTTGTTCTTTCCTTGGAAGGGCCCTGCATTGCAGGAAAGGACCTGGAAATGGTGAGAAGAGTGCGGGGAGGCGCGCTCACTACAGTGTGTCACTACAACGAACACAAGTATTTACAAAGTGAGAAATTTTGGTGCAAGGAGCTGTCAGACTTGGAATGCCGCACCATAGTCCAGAGCTCCCCCACAGCAGGAAGGAATTCTCTAAATTCTCCAGATGCAAGGGTCAGCCTAAAAGACTTGGAAATTGGCTGGATTTCTGTGTCCATGACGGAGCTCCGGGTAGAGGATTCGGGAATATACTGGTGTGGCGTTTCCGATCATATGAAGATTATCCCATTGAAAAAGATAAAAGTGGCAGTATCTTATGAAGGTGAGCTACAGATCAGTGAAGAGCAGGTTGGGACACAAATCAACTCAAAGCTGGATATTCCAAATTAGACTCATGCTCCATTCCCAGGTTTAAAACAAATAAAAGGAAGTTTTATTCACACAGCACAGTCAACTTGTGGAACTCCTTGCCTGAGGAGGTTGTGAAGGCTAGGACTATAACAGGGTTTAAAAGAGAACTGGATAAATTCATGGAGGTTAAGTCCATTAATGGCTATTAGCCAGGATGGATAAGGAATGGTGTCCCTAGCCTCTGTTTGTCAGAGGGTGGAGATGGATGGCAGGAGAGAGATCACTTGATCATTACCTGTTAGGTTCACTCCCTCTGGGGCACCTGGCATTGCCACTGTCGGTAGACAGGATACGGGGCTGGATGGACCTTTGGTCTGTCCCAGTACAGTCATTCTTATGCTCTTATGTTCTTATTCCCAGTCCAGTTTCTAAATAAAACACATTCTGTGCAGACAGATACGCCAGTGATACTACAGAGCAATGGTTAATGTATTTTAACCCCAATTTTATATCTACTTATAGAAAAAACATACGTATCAGATGCATGTATGCATTTAAATGTGTGTGTGTATACATAAACACACACACACACACAAACACACACATACATGCATCACATGCTAGCACATATATAGGTAGAAACTAGAGCTGGTTGGGAAATTTTGTTGCCCTATGAAAACTTTTGATAAAAACAAAAAACCGTTTTTCCATTGTTTCTCAAAACACCACAAACAAGGGTTTCTGACCTCCTTAAAACAAATTGTTTTGGGTTAAAACTGAATATTTTCAGTTATGGGTTGTTAGATAAAAAAAATCCATATTTTTCCAGGAAGGTGAACATTTTTGGCACATATTCTCTGTTTCACACACAGCCATTTTCCATTAAAAACAAATTCCCCTTTTAGACAGAAAATCTTTGGCCAACTCTAATAGAAACCCCACGACATGGAGAAACATCACTCCCAATTTGAAGTCCTGGTTACCAGTTGGAATGACCAATAAGAAGGATGGTCAGACCAGCTGCTAGACATCCCATCTCTGGGGCATCTTCACTTCTACCACCCCTGTCCCGTTTAACAGCTGTGTCTTGTTACTGTCCGTGAAAGGTGCCGCAACAGCAACCCTGGAGCCTTATCCTTACACACTGGGGAGGCCCAACATGGTGCAAGCTTCCCCATGCTCCTCGGATGCTAAGACTGCCAGGAGCAGAGGGGCTAGTGGTGAAGGTGCATTTTCAAAGTGATGGCAGCATTAGCAGATGCTCAGGCTGGATTCAGGGCTGCCCCATGGTGATTGATTGCAGCTTGGATACTGTGCAGTTTTCTGGTGGTAGTTGTGCACAGCCAATCCTAGGAAATATTTTCCTTGGGCTGGGAGAGATTATTTCCATGTCTTTTGTAAGCTGCTGTTGGGCTGGAGTTTGGTCTGATCCTTTGTCTTCAGATTTAGATGCAGGGGGCATTTATACACCCACAGGACATGTCTCTTTCTTTCCCTTTCTCACAATAACCAGTCACCGGTCTCTCTCTCCAGCTCCCATGAGGCTATCTGCCAAAAAAGGAGACTCCATCTCCCTAAATTGTTCCTATTTTATGATGGACGACAGCAGAAGACCTAATAATTTTACCTGGTGCAAAATGATAACCGCAACCAGATGTCAACCTGTCGTCAGCGTTGAGATTGATCAGATTGTAAATATGCGAGAAAGGACCAGGATAAAGCTTGACCGGTGGAACAGAGTGATTATAGTGACGCTGGTGGCGCTCCAGCTACGTGACTCGGGGGAGTATCATTGTGAGACCCATCTCCAGGGAAGTACCGTGCTACTGAAGATGATCACACTGAATGTTTTGGGTGAGTTACTCAAAGAAAACTGGCCTTCCCTTAAAAGTCAGCAAATTCTCATCCCCTGGTGAATGTGGTTACAGGCCAGAGCTCAGATGGGCTCCTCAGAGCAGGGAAATTCCAGGAGACAAATGAAAAAATCCTAAATTCACCTGTTCAGGCTTTTGTAACCTACTAGTATCATCTACAAATTATCTTTTATATTGCCATGTGTTGTGGGTCTTGCGTAAAAGCCAATAAGAGCTTTAAAGAGGCTGGGCCTTCACCCCCAAAATTCTGACTTTTTTGAGGTTTAAGGCTGAGTTTGTGCCATTTGAGTTTTTGCTTGAATTAACTTTCAGTGTGCATTAAAAGGGTGTCGATCCGAACTGGGGTGGGTGAAATAAGAACTGAGCTGAATCCTGACCAAATCTCAGACTGAACACGGCCCTTGGTCAAGGTTCATGAATGCTGCACTTTGCTTTGATATTCCTCCTTTTCTGCCCTTCTCACTTTCAGCCAGTGCAGGAAGCAGCAATACAGAACAGGCCATAGGAACAGCCACTCTGGTGGAGGGTCTGACTTGGGTGGAAATGGACTCCTCACAAGAAGAGGCCCTTCCCCATAAAATCTCCAGCTTAATAATAGCAAAGGAGTTCAGCTAAGTTAAGCTAAGTTCTGAGCGTTTGGATGCTTATACGAATGGGACCTCTGGTCCTTGTGAGGTTTAACCAGCAGTGCTCAAAATTTGCTCTCTTGTCATACCCATGCTTTTCTCTGTCATACAATAAGATTCTGCAAGGCACTGAGGCCCAGTTGTTCAAAAGAATTTAGGTGCCAAACTCCCACTGAAATCAATGGGAGTTAGGCACCTGAATTCTTTTGAAGAACTGGGCCTGAGTGCTCTGGAGATGAGGGAATTTAGCATCTCCGAGAAAGCACTTAACACCTTGCAAGATCAGGTGCACAGAAATTGGAGATTACATAGCCCTTCCCTTCTGGCCAATGCACGATGGTTCCCGTCAATATATTTCTCTGGGCTTTCTCCAATCACGTTTTAATTATCTCATTTGAGGAGCTTCCACCACTTCCCTTGCAAGATTATTCCAAAGACCAAGAGACCTCACTCATAGGAATATTTTTTGCTGGTAAATGGCAAAAGGATAGGGTGGGTTTCCACAGGAAACCCATGTTACATGCTCACTGCTAACAAACAAGTTAACTCTGTTCTTATTCCTCATGACGAGGACATGGCTACAAGGGAAAGGGTCACTCGTACTATCTTCATCATGGGGTGTGTATATTTCCAGAATCTTATGATAGGACAGCTTTTGTGACTACATCCCGTCCCATTGACGACATAGGAGCCGTCCTCCCAACTGCAGCCAGGAATGATCAGCAGAGGTAAAGACAGAAAGAAAAAAATTCAGGCTCAGCTAAATGCAAGATTCACAGTAAAAGGGTGGAAATCTCCATTCCCAGTTAACCCTAATTGTTGTGCGTGTGATTTCCCATAGCTGGTACTCTGAGGTCAATCTCAATGTCCTCTGTATCATGGTTGGATTGCTGGGCACTAAATTCCTGACAGCACTCCTGATCTTTATCATCGCCAGCCAAAGGAGAAGCAGAGCCACAGAGCAGGAGATCCACGGCCCGGAACAAATACCAGCTCCTCCCACTCACAGGTAATCTCACTGAGTGTATACGGGGCGGGATGAACCCCTGCTGGGAGAGCGTACCCCAGTGCTGGGCCCCAGACATAAGCAAGGTAGAGGAGTCTGGGGAGGATGAGCAGTGCGAACCGGGAGGAAGGCTGAAGGATATATCTTAGCTGCTTGTCAAGGAAGACAATAAAACATTTGAGAAGCTAACTGTAGCAATAACCCCTCATGGGTCACCAGTTCTGTTTGACCTGACAGCAGAGACCTTGATTACTTGCACTAAAGGGGTAACTCCACATTAGCTGGCGGCAGTAGTAGTCTGTTACTTCTATGTGGACCAGCCACTAGAGGGTGACGCAGCACACACTTTGACTCATGCCCCTCACGTAACAGGCAAAAAGTGAGCCATCAAAGACATTAATGATATTAACAAAGGCAATATTGTAAGAATAATTTTAATACATACAGGCAACTTTAATGGATTGTGGGATCTCTCTTCCAGGCCTTTAATAAAAGTCTTTCCAGGTGGAGAATGTTTAAAGATTTCAAATCCAGTGGATCTGAGTGAGCTAGAGGTGCCACTCAAACCTCCAACCCTGCCACAAGGGCAAAAGGACCCTTTAACCTGTGACAAAGGGAGCTGAGGATACCAACAATGCTTAGAATATCCCAGATTTCCTTCCTTTCTTCAGGATAAACAGTATTTACTAGGATCTCAGATTGGTCTTTCAGGTTTCTCATGCAAACTGTTTACTCTGTTGTGGGGTTTTCCTCTCTAGGGGGTGAAAAGTCTGTTCATTTGTCCTCTGGCCCTTTCAGTCCTTGGCCTTGCTATTGAAGTGGCCTAGAAAGAGGCCATTTAGTGCAATTCTCGTGGCGGTTTTGTGTGTGGATGAAGAGGACACCTGTCCACTGGACACTGAAGTGAGATTCACCACTCCTTTAACGAAAGCCATCGGAAGTGAACAGTCAATGCAGACCTGGGCTACATTTAAACCATCCCATTCTCAGACTAGTTACACTAAGGAGAAAATGCCTAGAGGCAAAAGGGACCAAAGATACGATGTTTGGCATCACGCTCATCTAGTTCACGAGTGAGATGATCGGTCTAGTACCTTAGCCAATGTGTCTCGGGAACAATTTACAGGGTACAATAGTCTATTTGTAGGCTTGGCAGAATTCAATTTTTGTTATATAATTTTAACAAAAAATATTGATGGTTATTTAAGCTTTTGAAACGTTTATCTATTTAAATTTTCACTGTTGCAGGAAATTATGGGGGAAGTCAGACAATTATTTAATGCCAGTAAATGTTGAGATTCGAACAGTTAAAGCTTTGTCACAGCTAAAACACAAATTGTCAACATCACATGTCACAATATACAAAGTAAATATCCTCACATCAAACTGTGATCCATTCTCAAGCAGCATTTTTCTTACTTTGACTATCTGTACATTTAGATGATTATCGATGAAAACATTTTTGCATTGGCTTGTGCGTGTATGATGAAACCAACATTTACCGATAAAAATGCAATCCTTGTGCATAGCTCAAACATATGATACAGCGGACCCTCGCTAGAACGCGCGTCTATATAGCGCAAAATCGCTTATAGCCTGGGACCACGCATGGATCCCAAATGTAATTACTTTCATTGGAATCCATGGTAATGCAGTCCCCACTATTACGCGGGACTGCGCATGGATCCAAAACCCCACGTTCTAGCTAGGGTCCAGTGTACTAAAATAAAATCCACTGTTGTGTTTCAGATCTCCAAGGCTAGTTACACTAGGGAGAGTCAAACACCACCACAGATGTGACTGCCCCATTATCCACACCAGGGTGACCCTGTTAACTGCAATCATTACTATTTGTATTATGGTGGCACCCAGGAGCTCCAGTCATGGATCAGAACCCCCTTGTGCTAGGCACTGTACAAACACAAAACAGAAAGTTTTTCTCTGCCCCAAAGAGCTTGCAATCAGAGTAGAAGACAATAGACAAGAAATGCATGCAACAGACAGAGGGAACTAGGTAACAGTAAGATCATACTGACCAGCCTGATAAGCAGTGGTCACAATCCTGATTTACCCTGCCACCAATGGAGACCCAGGCTTCAAATATGGGTGGGGGCAGAGGCACGTTTTCAGAAAAGCAGACAGCTCCTTGAAACCAGCATGGATTCCTCATCCCTTACTCCATACTTAACCAATTTCCTGTTTTCTTTCCAGGATTAAAGAGAGGAAAGGAAAACACTAGTAAGACAAGGATGTGATGGAAGGAGAAGTAGGCAAAGAAAAAGAATTCCAAGAGTCTTTCCAGCCAAGCTCCCAACTCCTCCAACACTTATACATATACACGCAGAGATGCTCACACAGATATTGACACCTGCAGAGAGAGACATGCTTCGGATGAGAAAGTTCTGCTCAGTTTTCCCAGTGCCTCCAGCCATGACAGATAAACCTTTGCTTGCTCTTCCTCGTTGTACCTGCGATGCTAATAGACGATGAAGAGGTGCATAAGGGACGGAAGACACT